TGCCTTGGACATGTCTAGTATTCTCAACCTCCATCGTCAGTACTCGTCTAAGATGTTAAACGTTCGCCCGGGTCAAGCTGTGGTTATTTGCAATGGCCGTGTTATCGGGCCTTTGGGAGCGAAGGAAGACTTTGTGGAGAGTGATTTCCTTTTGCTGAGCCGATACGTGTCGTCTACGTCGGCTGATGCGATTATTCAAATGCTACTCGAGGTCAAAGCTCAAGGGAAGCAAGGGCGGACATTGAGTGACTACGTCGTTGGAGCAACGACTGTCTTACTTTCGCAAGGAGCCGCAAAAAGCAGACTGGAACTGCCAGCCCTGGTGTCTGATTCGAGGTACTGTGAATCGTTTCGTAATTACAGTACATGTATGAGCCATCATCGAGAAGCATTGTTGGGAGAAAAGCACCCAGACGAAGAGCGAAGATCGAGGACGAAAGCGCTGGCCAACACCAAGATCGACTCACTTGTGACCAAAAATCGTTTTCCTAAATCACATTGTTTCTGTTTTTTAAACTTCTGTTTTTTGTCCTCTGAAAGTAACGCACGGTTTTGTAAGTAGACCGAAACGAACCACTTTCAATTTTAAAAATCTCTGTCGTAATTGAAACACGTTCCGTGAGTCCTGCAATTCTCTGAATTTCTATGAATTCAATTTTTTTTTAAAGTTTAAGAAACATTTTTTATGATTTTCGGAATTCTGTTCCTGAAGTTGCACCATTCTGCCTGAGATATTCAAAGTCTAATCGAATGTTTTTTTTTTCGGTGAAATTTTATTTTTCTTCCCTCTGATGATGGATGACATTTTGAACATATTCCTGATTTATAAAAGGGGTTTTTCGAAGTGAGCTTCAGTGCTTCGATCAATACTTACTTCGGAGGAGAAAAGAGGAGATTGAAAATACGTTGATAAAATCGCATAAAGCAATTAGTCGAGGATGCTTTTCTCCTTATTATAGTGCTTCTTGCATGAATGCGTTTTATTCTATCGTCATTCCTACTTATATAAATACTGTATAGTCAATATAACGCCGTTTTTCGTATTCCTGCAGCACGGTCCACTTATCGTCGCAAGTGGAAGGGGAACCCTATTTGGACATCGTCGGTATTGTGGATCCGTTGACGCGAGGTGCCCAATTGATGGCTTCTTTGGTGTCGACTGTGATGAAAGTTTTGCCGAGCAAAGTTCGACTGTACATGAATTGCGTGGAGAAACATTCCGAAATGCCGATGAAGAGCTTCTTTAGATACGTTCTGGCGTCGGAGCCGGAATTTGAGCCCGAGACTGGATCACTCGTGGCCCCTGTGGCCAAATTCTTGCATTTGCCAACCGAACCGATTTTGACGATGGGATTGAAGATTCCGGAAAATTGGCTCGTCGGTCTTGTGAGAAGTCCGTATGATTTGGATAACATTAGGTTGAAAGACGTCGAAGGCGGGGTTTATGGGTTGGTACTTTTCTTTCTTCGACCTCTGCTTTACAAAATTTTATTTTTAATTTCAGCAGAAAGTCAGAAGTAAGGCGAGTCTTACGTTGTTGAATTCGCCTGAAAATTTTCGTATCAATCTATATAGTCGCAGAACTTGTGCAACCATATTCCTCATGCTTGAAATTTTGAATGATCGTAAAAAACGTTGTATTTATAAAAATAATCCTGAGCAACATCAAGTTTCATTGATCTTGAATCATTTAATAATTTTATCTGATGGGCCACAGAGAATACGAATTGGAAAATCTGCTACTGGAAGGACATTGCTTCGAAAGCGGAACCGGAAATCCTCCGAGGGGATTGCAGTTCACCTTGGCTGCTGAGA